TATACCTCACCTGTGTTAACCAGGTAAATACCTCACCTGTGTTAACCAGGAAAATGTCTCACCTGTATCAGGTACATATCTCACCTGTATCAGGTACATATCTCACCTGTGTTAACCAGGTACATATCTCACCTGTATCAGGTACATACCTCACCTGTATCAGGTACATATCTCACCTGTGTTTACCAGGTACATGTATCAGGTACATATCTCACCTGTGTTTACCAGGTAAATACCTCACCTGTATTTAATGGGTACAATCAGTCATCTGATTAATACTGTATATACATAAACATACCCACTTTGCTGCAATCAAACATTGTTTTCCATGTTGCACAAAATGTCCCTACTTATTCCCAAGGTATCGTCTGTTTCCTGGCCGTATTGGCACAGTAACCAACCATTGCACTAAAACCACGACATAAAGTTTAATGTGAAATAGAAGTTGTTTCCTGGCCGTATTGGCACACTAACCAACCTTTGCACTAAAACCATGCCTTAAAGATCAATGTGAAATAGAAGTTCACTTATTCCACGGCAGCTTCATACAACAGCTGATCAACAACATGAACATATTAACACCATCTTACACCTCCAGCTATCCAAACATCAACGGTGTCTGTATTACAAGATGGGCCATCTATAAAATGTGAAATTAATTATCTTCCATAGAAAAAATATTGGTCCAAGTCAAGTGCCAAGTGTTTCCGCTGAATTTTCTATTTGGGTGTATATTTGGGTGTCTATTTGGTTGTCTATTTGGGTGGTGTATATTTGGGTGTGTATATTTGGGTGTCTATTTGGGTGTCTATTTGGGTGTGTCTATTTGGGTGTATATTTGGGTGTGTCTATTTGGGTGTCTATTTGGGTGTATATTTGGGTGTCTATTTGGGTGTGTCTATTTGGGTGTATATTTGGGTGTCTATTTGGGTGTCTATTTGATATATTCTTTTGAGATTCTATACCCCCAAGTCTTTAATTACATTGGAGAGTTCTTGTAAACAGGAGGAACAACCATTTATGGGGTACATAAAACCCCTCATTTTGGGGGTTTCTGGGTACAGAGTGTACTTCTGACTCGGACATGATACACGTTTGGCCTTAGTTGTGTAAGTTATGTAAAGGACAGATAATGTCTATTGCATGCTAAAGGTACAGACATTCACAATAATCTATATCAATTCTCCCTCTTTCTCTCATTCGTTAGCTTTCTTCATTCAACTTAACCAAACAATTCAGTTTTGTATTTGACACTCTACTCCTCACTTTCTGTGAATTCCTTACATTTGTAAAAGAACTCTTTCTACATCCAATCTCTTGGCTCTTGATCTCTTTTACTTTGTCCAGTTTAAAATAAACATTGAGCAAGCTTGATACACCTTTCTTTCTTAAAATTTGACATGAATGGTATAAATAATGAGCAGACACACAGGTGTAAACATCTTAATGCATAAAATAAAGCACGCCAGGATTAATACAGTTCATTTCTCAAGAATCTGGGTAAACACATTGTTCAAACCATTTGTAAGTAAACATAGACCGTATAACGGTACAACAACAAAATCTTGCTACATGTTGTTAATATCTACCAGCTGTGGTGTAATGTTCATAGCAAATTCAAACACCAAACAGAAGATATCAGAATCTAACACCAAACAGAAGATATCAGAATCTAACACCATCAAACAGAAGATATCAGAATCTAAATGGCTTTAATGCTGAGCACTATATCCCCTCACTTCAGAAAAAGTTTACAATTACTGGGATTCTATCATAGAGGCTAGACATATTTATTTCAATTCTTGTATTCGTGTTCAAAAAACAAAAAGAAATTCTATTTTGTCTATCTGTGTGGATTCATTTGGTTCAACATAATCTCAAACAGAGGATGAAACAGCCACTTTTGCAGGAACATGGTATCGTTTCCTACGGTTATAACTTCCATCAGGTCACTATCGCGGTGGGACACCATTTTGGAATTTCTGTCAAAGTTTGAATTTGACATGACAACCTAATTGGTGTCTGAATACTATTAGCAGTATGACTAACGACAAGAACTGACTCTGACTGGAAACTATTCTCAGGCTGTACTTGATTGTATTATGCTTTCATAACAGTGTTTAGTGTTGACAAGTATATTTATTGACTATACAATGGAAATGGAAATATTTGAAGATGTTTAACTTTGTATTTTTCATATTTCCAAATGAATTATGACACCCTGTTTCTACAGGGTAAACTGTCCCTAAAACATTGTGAACCTATTCTTTGCTCAATTTTGAAAGTAGATAATGATCTTATTGACAGTGCAAGGCAACTTAAAAGTTTCACAAAAACATAAGTCTTGGCTACAAAGCTAATACATCATCTTGTGATGTCAGTGTGTGATACAGAATCTTCTAGTGCATGGCCTGAAAACTTGTAAGATTCATAAAGTATATAATAACACTGGTTGTATCACTGCAGTAAGATTTACCAGGTATGTAATAAACACTGGCTGTATCGCTACAGTAAGATTTACCAGGTATATAACACAACTGGCTGTATCGCTATATACGATTTACTAGGTATGTAATAAACACTGGCTGTATCACTACAGTAAGATTTACCAGGTATATAATATAACTGGCTGTATCGCTACAGTAAGATTTACCAGGTATGTAATAAACACTGGTTGTATCACTACAGTAAGATTTACCAGGTATGTAATAAACACTGGCTGTATCACTATATACGATTTACCAGGTATGTAATGACACTGGCTGTATCACTATATATGATTTACCAGGTATGTAATAACACTGGCTGTATCACTATATACGATTTACCAGGTATGTAATGACACTGGCTGTATCACTATATACGATTTACTAGGTATGTAATAAACACTGGCTGTATCACTTTATACGATTTACCAGGTATATAATAACACTGGCTGTATCACTATATAAGATTTACCAGGTATGTAATAAAACTGGCTTTATCACTACAGTAAGATTTACCAGGTATGTAATAAAACTGGCTGTATCGCTATATAAGATTTACCAGGTATGTTATAACACTGGCTGTATCGCTATATAAGATTTACCAGGTATATAATAAAACTGGCTTTATCACTACAGTAAGATTTACCAGGTATGTTATAACACTGGCTGTATCGCTATATAAGATTTACCAGGTATATAATAAAAATGGCTGTATCACTACAGTAAGATTTACCAGGTATGTAATAAACACTGGCTGCATCACTTTATACGATTTACCAGGTATATAATAACACTGGCTGTATCACTATATAAGATTTACCAGGTATGTAATAAAACTGGCTTTATCACTACAGTAAGATTTACCAGGTATGTAATAAAAATGGCTGTATCACTACAGTAAGATGTACCAGGTATATAATAAAACTGGCTGCGTCACTTCAGTAAGATTTACCAGGTATGTAATAAAACTGGCTGTATATATATCACTACAGTAAGATTTACCAGGTATGTAATAAAACTGGCTATATCACTACAGTAAGATTTACCAGGTATATAATAAAATACGGATCTCACCATTTATAAGTAATACACATTTTTTGGCCCCACCCCTTAGCCCGGGGGTCAGCCCCACTAATTGTACAATTTTGAATCCCCACCACCTAGGGATGCTTCAAGTCAAATATGGTTGATATCCATCTCTTAGTTCCAGAGAAGAAGTCGCTTAAACCAATATAGCCAAATTGGCCCCTTTTGGCCCCGCCCCTCAACCCCCTGGGGGGTCAGCCCAATTGCTTGTACAATTTAGAATCTCCACCACCTAGGGATGCTTCCAGTCAAATATGGTTGATATCCACTTTTTAGTTCCAGATAAGAAGTCGCTTAAAGCAATATAGCCAAATTGACCCCTTTTGGCCCTGCCTCTCAGCCCCCTGGGGGGTCAGCCCAATCATTTGTACAATTTTGAATTCCCACCACCTAGGGATGCTTCCAGGTAAATTTAGTTGAATTCCAATCAGTGGTTAAGAAGAAGAAGCCGTTTAAAGAAATTGTTGACGTACGGACGTACGGACGGACGACGGACGCAACGGTTTGGCATAAGCTCACCTTGGTCCTTCGGACCAGGTGAGCTAATAAAACTGGCTGTATCACTATATAAGATTTACCAGGTATATCATAAAACTGGCTGTATCACATAAGTATGTTACATAAAAATAGAGTCCTGGGCTTCATCTGGAGTGTGAACTTATCACAGGTATAATACAGTATGTTAAGATATTAACCAGAACAGTGAAGGTTAATGTGGGCTATAAGTGACGTCTTTGTTCCATGTAGTGCAGTTATAGTGGGAATAATACTGTAACATGTACAAATAGTATTTACAAAAACAAAGCAAATAATGTATTTTGGCAAAACGTAACATATTCATTGTCAAAATGTTAAAATGTTTATAACAAAGCGGGACTTTCAGTGAAATAAATACTTTTTTCTACAGAACAAACTACAGTAATAATAAGAAAGGAAATATAACAAAACAGTGTCTTGTGTTTCTGGATAGGTGTTGTAATGTGCTAAAAGGCTAATCATGCTTGCAAAGTAGTTTGGCAAATTGTCTATGTGAGGAACTATTTTCCAAACATGTGTGGTTTACCTACTGTCTATGAGTGGGGTTTGTTTTTAGAGTGGTAAGGTAATATGACAAGGATAGGGCTCATATTCAAATCGGTGTTGTAAGGTATCTAACGGTGGAGTTTTATTTTCCAAAAAATTTTGGCAATGCGTTTATGGGTAGCACTGATATCCACAAAGTCTGATAAGGTATTCAGGGACATGGTTTATTTCCAAAAAAGTTGCAGCAATGATGTTAGTACATGGCAAGTTCACAAGTGCAATGCAGACAGAGGTTGAGATATATGTGCAGAAAGGATGTACTGTATCTTTGTCTGGGGCGATGATGGAGCACTGTATCAGTGTACTGTATCTTTGTCTGGGGCGAGGATGAAGCACTGTATCAGTGTACTGTATCTTTGTCTGGGGGCGAGGATGAAACACTGTATCAGAGTACTGTATCTTTGTCTTGGGCGAGGATGAAGTGCTGTATGATCAGGGTGCTGTATCTTTGTCAGGGGCAAGGAATAAGTGCTGTATGAAGCACTGTATGATCAGTGTTGAATGAGACAGGGATCCTGCATCACTGAGATAAAATCTCTTGGTAGGGAGCATTGGTGAATGAGTAGATATATTATGCATTTTTAACTATTTATGGTAAACTTATATTATTAGTAAAAATTTAACAAGTGCCAAGTTTAGAAGATCTAGAAGCAAAAATCTAATGATAAGAATAAACAAAACATTAAACCTTGGATCTGTTTTAAGTGAATTGTTGTTCACTATGGTTTACAGGATCCAGGTATCTCAAGATCTAAACCTACAAACAAAACAGGTGTACAGCTTAGAAAACATTCTAACTAACATAAAACACAATAATCTCACAATAACAGCATTGTTTGCATAAGACGCCATTTTTTAAGAAGAAAAAATAAAATACATATAATTCAAGAAGGTTTGGCATCTCAAATTGTTATTTTTCATCTAAAAATTATATTGGTCCTCACATCTCATGGTTCTAAAATCTCCTCCATGAATAAAAATCATCACAAAATACAGACATGCCAGCGAGAACAATCGCTTTCCCTCAAAGATAATTTGCAAAACACTTTGTGTCCTCCGAAATCCTTTGAAGAAATGTATTCAAATGTGTTATACGTGGACAGAAAAGGAGAAGGAGCGGTACAACGTGACTGGTCTGTCTCCAGACCCCCGTGGCTCGTCACCATTCATCCTTGAGGCTATCAATGTCTGTTGCTTATCATTGAAATGTAGCCAACAAGTCTGTACTGATCTTCACACTTAGAAATAAAGCTGAGCAAGTACGTTCATGACAAATTTCAAGTTAAAAACACATATATATTGCAGTATCTGTTGTCTGCTGAAACACTACAGGCACACAGTGTTTACAACATTAAAATAACATGAGCACCGAAGCAATAGAAATATAAAATTGAAATAAAACTTCTTCCAACGTATATATAATGTGTTCCTATTTTGGACCTTGGTGGCCATATGCTGCCACCCTTTCACTCCCCACCCTCCACACGCACAATCTCTTGGGCCTCAGTGGCCTCCGTAGCGAGTCCCTCAGGATCGTGCGTCAATCTCGAAGTGTTTATAGATGGAGGTCACATATGCCATGACAGCCTGCCAGTCTGGTCGCTCCATCACAACCATATCATTAATATTCTGGAAATACAAGAAAAACACAACTTTTATGAAATACAGCAAAATTCTACTACTGTCGTGACATTTCAAAGAGATTTGATTTCCAGACCTTTTGATCATAAAGCAGGGAGCTTATCCACTGTGCTATTGGTCATGAAATGTTAGGGTTTGTGGTGAGAACAATTTTCCTCATCACAAGAATGTAGATAAATTTAAGAGGCTTCCATGCTCGTGATAAGATTTTTTTCCCAAAGACAAACCCTTAAAACACCAAGTTGTAAACTGTTTATCAACTTTATACTACTATCTTATATACTTCCCTTATCATTTAAAAGCCAACCAAATACATGTACCATAGCTGTCAGCCACTTTCAAGGCCTAATGCTCATCGAGATCCTCAGTTAACAATTGGCAAATATAAACATTTGTAGTTTTGAGGATAGGTATACCACAAATGTTATTATTATGTACAAAGATATTTACAAAACAATATGCTTGTCACTGGTTTCTCCATATGCACACTTATGTTTAAAATGATGTTATCCTCGCAATAAAATTTCATAATTTTATATAATGATTTGTTTCTGACGGACTATTTTCTTATGCAGAACACCTTTGTGTGAGCTAGTCTACGTCGTTACCTGCCACAAGCAGACATTCTTTTTTGAGAAAATAAAACATTGGCCTATTGAAAAATCCAAGTAATTCTCAATTAAGTCCTTGTGTAATAGAAAAGGACTAACATAAATTTAATACAAGATGGCATTTAAAGGCCTGTACACAGGAATGTATAGATGAGAGATAACTGTGACATTGCTTGGACATTTCCCAGATAAACACTCCAGACAGATACCTTGTACAAAGATAAGTCAGAGAAGTTAACCTCATCTTACATAGGGAAACAGACACTACAGGTTAAGTCAGAGAAGTTAACCTCATCTAACATACAGAGACAGACACTACAGGTTAAGTCAGGGAAGTTAACCTCATCTAAAATACAGGAACATACACTACAGGTTAAGTCAGAGAAGTTAACCTCATCTAACATACAGGAACAGACACTACAGGTTAAGTCGGGAAGTTAACCTCATCTAGCATACAGGAACAGACACTACAGGTTAAGTCAGGGAAGTTAACCTCATCTAACATACAGGAACAGACACTACAGGTTAAGTCAGGGAAGTTAACCTCATCTAACA